AAAAATTGGTTACAATAAAATTTCATACTCAGAAAGTAATTATCCATAAACTTTTGAATATGAAATTTTTTATAACTAATTATTTTGCCCTTCTCAGTCCTTCTGAAATGTGTAGCCATTCTTCCTATTATTAGATTTCCATAAAAATAAATTATCTAAAACATCTAACCATACCATTACAAGGATGCCAACTTGTTCCAAGTCTACCCTTTTGAAATTATGCTCTCAACCAGAGCCACATTCCAAACCACATAGGAAAGGGAATGAAATGAACACAACCCAATGAAAACTGAGTGTATTCTAGAATAATCCTCTCTAAATTCATTCGTGTCACTTACCTACGCTATGCCTCATATGAAATTTTAAAAGAATGGCAAAGAATTGACTTTCACATACTAATTAACAGTTTGTAAAGCTCTTTTTATTTGTTTTTTTTTTCTTTTCTTTTCACAAAACAGTCTTAAAGAATCTCTGAACTAGTCAAGACAACTATTTTACTAGCTCCATTTTAGATGAATAAATCAAGTTTTGAAGAGTCAAAGTACCTAGTCAAAGTGTTGGAACAAGGATCCAAATTCAGGTCTAGCTGTAAAAGAATGGAAATATTATTCATCCACACTTCAAACTAAAGTAGAAAGCTATAGTAATCAAAACAGTATAATACTGACGTGAAAATAAACACACAGATCAGTGAATAGAATTGAGAACCCAGACATAAACCTACATTTAAATGAACAGTTAATCTATCCTTTAGGAGCAAAAAGGATATCATAGAAAAAGGAGTCTCTACAATAAATGGTTTGGGTAAATGACTATTTGCAAAAGAACAACAGAACATTATCTCACACCAAACACAAAAATTTAGTTGAAAATGGATTATTAAAAACCTAGATGTAAGACCTGACACCATACAATACATAGAAGAAAACAAAAGCAAAATAATTCATAATACTGACTTCAGAGATCAACTTGGGGACTTATCTACAATGGCAAGGAAAACAAAAGCAAATATAAACAATTGGACTGCATCAAACTGAAAACTTTTTCACAGCAAAGGAAACTACCATTAAAATGAAATGACCCCCTACCAAATGGAAGAAAATATTTGCACATCATGCATTCAACAATGGGCTAATATCCAAGATCTACAAAGAACTGATACAACTCTGCAACAAGAAAACAAACACCCCAATCAAAAATAGGCAGAAGAGCTAAGTAAATACATCTTCAAAGAGGACATACTGAAAACATGCTCATCATCACTTATTATCAGGGAAATGCTAAAACCAAAATGAAATAACACCTCACACCTGTGAGAATGGTTCAAATCAAAATGATCAGAAGCAACAAGTGCTAGGAAGGTTGTGGAATAAAAGGAACCCAAATGCATAGTTGATGGACCTATAGACTGGTGCAACCTCTATAGAAAGCAGAATTGAGGTTTCTCAAAATATTAAAAATAGATCTACCCTTTGATCCAACAGTACACTCATGGGTATCTATTTGAAGAACACATAAACACTAATTCAAAGGGATATATATGTATACTCTTATGTTCATCACAGTTTTGTTTTGTTTTGTTTTGTTTTTTACCATAATCAATCTATAGAAATAACCTGTGAGCACAATAGATGAGTCAATAAAGATGATGTGGTAGATATACACAAGGGAATGCTACTTGGCTATATACCTATGTCTACATTTATCTAAATATATGTATATCATATATTTCATATATATATATGAAATCTTGGCATTTGTGACAACATGAACAATATGGATGCAACTGGAGGGGATCATTCTAAGCAAAGTACATCATAGGTAGAAAGAAAATGTGGAATATAAAGAAACAAAATAAAAGAACAGTAAAAAGCTAGACCAAAACAAAATCTAGAAATTTGACAGCAAAATTGAGGATTGGGGGTTGGGGGGTAGGGAGGAGTGGCCAAAGTGGGAATGGAGTATGTAGATGTATAGTAGAGTATCATGGGTGCTTCTGTAATACAGATGGTGAGAGGAGATATATTTGAAGATATGTGAACTTAGATCCTTAAATCATACACAGTGTGTAAACCAATGTTAGTTCAATAAAAATAATACCATTATTTTTAAAAAAAGAAAGTGAACTAATGGTGTTTGGTGTCAGTTGTGAGGCATATGTGGCAAGAATTTACTGGAGGTACAGCTTTTGGCTCTCCAAATCAAAACTTTTCATCTTCTGTGATGCAAGTATGCTGCAATATTGAATTACTGCTCTTTTTTTCACTCTAACATCAGACTTTTTTTCACAATAAAGTAGACTATTCTCTATAAATAGCACATTCTACTCTAAAACTTGGAAACTCACAGAAATATGCTATTTGAAGTGTCATAAAATTGAAATTTTTAAAAACTCATTTTTCCTGTCATAAGCACAAAATCTTCAAGACGCTGATGGGGAAAAAATTCTATCCCATAAATGAAATAGCATACTTAACTTTTTTATAGATAAGATTAAACAACTTATAAATCAGAAAGGGATAGTTCATAACGATCTTCAAAAAAGAGCTATAACATCCAATGCTAAACCCATTATATTTTATTAAGAGGCACCATAAATTAGAGTAATTTGATATCAAAAAGAACAAAAGATGTCAAGCAGTTTCTCAAGCATCTGGATCCCATTGATACCACCTAAACTTTTAACAGCAAGAAAAAAAGCTAGGCTGAGATGGTTTAGTCAAAGGAATGTCAAGAAAAAACTCATCTAATGTGTGTTTGAAGAACATCTAATGTGTGATTGAAGACAGCCAACAGACTAACATTGACATAATAGAAGAGACAAACAGCTTTCTCAGAAAAAAATTCTTTCTTTTGATCCATTATACTCTAGCCATACTACCAAGGAATTTGGTCAAGTTTTTGGAATTTAGATTTTCAATAATTTCTATTCTTAATCCATATCTTTGCCTTCTAGGATAGAAATGCAAATTTTATAATGGACAATATTCAGTTACATACAATATACAGGGGCATACCTGTCATTAAAATATTAAGGTATTTATTTAATGTTTTATAAAAATCCCCTACTTTGAGTACCCGGAGTAACCCGGAGTAACCCACCATTATCATGCCACCGTCACCCCAATCTCCAGGAACCACTGGATTTTCCTTCATGCCAGTACATAAAGGGTTATCATCTGATATTACAACGGACTGTATCCCAAGATTCTGCTTGAACACCCAATGACTAATGTCCTTTCTGATTCATTGGGTTTTGACTTTAACAGATAAGCATACTGAATTTTTGCCCTGTTTAAAAGATTTCAGAAGATAATAGAAATTAATTTAGTGGGCAGGTGTACTACAATAGGAGGTGACAGGAAATGTGGGAAACTGGAGAGCTTATACTTCCCTTAAAGAAGTAGTTGTTATGTAGCTGTGGAAGATTGTGATCATGTAAGAATACAGGTTAAATGAGAAACCTCCCAATTCCTTAATACTGGCAATGAATACAGATGATTGTGTAATACTGTATGCCCCAAAGTAGATGGAGCCAGCGGGTCATGAGTCTGTGACATCTGCCTTAAGTGTCCAAAGCTTGCATAACCTTGACAGAATGTCTTACTCTATCACATTTAAAATAAGCCCAAGGAAAAAAGTATATAAAAAAAGTATATAGTTACAAGTAATTTTGAATTGGAACATTGAAATAACTAATTAAACTGATAATTATATCCAAACTTCTTTTGTATTTCATTTTAATTTTGCCAAGTGTTATCAAGTATATTCTCTCAGATTTTCCTCACAGGTAAAGTGGGCATTGTTATGTGTTATTTAAAGTTGAGGAAAATGTATCCAGAAAAATTAAGGGAACTGCCTTAGCATCACTGAAATATGTGGCAAAACTAGGATTTGTAATTGCAATACCTTTTTTTAAAAAAACTTTTATTTACTTATTTATTTTTTAAGATTTATTTATTTATTTATACAAGCACTGGGTACAGTCAGAAGCGCAGGAGGGTGAGAGAATTCACCAGAGCCAGAGTGGGGAGCAGAACAGGCAGACTGATGAAATACACTGCTGAGGGGAGCAGTGGGTGCAGCAGGAGAGGTCTGCATGCCATGTGGGACCCTCGCCGGCAGCCGGGGATCGAACCGGCACTGCAGAGACTGCAGGCAGCTTCGCAGCCCAGCGCTCAACCACTGCACCACCGGGGGAGGCCCTGCAATACCTCTTTTGATTGGCCTACCCTACTTCCAACTTCACTGATATCCCAGGTATAATCTCAGGCAGTTATTCTAGTATAATCTAATATAATATCTTCACACATTTGAAATTATCTTTTTTATAGATCTAAATCACTTCTTAAAACAGAACATGTTTTTGGCATAGATGGGATTATTGTTCCCAATTCTTCAATAAAATTATACATCGAGTTCTTTATCTATCATGTAATTTTGCATGGCCTCATATTGTGGTGAGAGTGTATTTCCCTAATAAATTCATATTGGGTCTAGCCCAATATATTTGTCAAGTGGTTAGAGGCCAGCATGACATTGTGCCAGCTGTTAGCTGATAGTTTAAAAGGCATGATGTGTTTCACCTTCTCTCTGGACCTGTTACCAGGAACTCTAATAGGAGCATGCCCCAGCTCTCTTCTGCTCCTGACTTAGCGACACAGTGAGATATATGAAGCAGACCCAGACCTAACCTGTAGCTTAGAGCCAAACTCACTAACTCAGCCAAGAACAGTAATATCACAGATGACCCAGAGGTCCAAGAGTGAAAAAAGAAAATATTTGTTGATATAAGATACTGAGATTTGGGCCAGGGGTTGTTATTTGTCACCTCATATTATTGTAACAGTATTTGATTATAGTATTGTTATAATCATCTTACATGAAAAATAGCATCTTCCATAGTTAGGCCTTTAAAAATTCATTTCAACAATAAAATAAACTCCAGAAACAGCTCAACAACAATCACATAAGAACATATACCTTTAGAGAATGGTATTCTTTTAAGCCAGCATTCCTAAGGACACTTATACAATGCTCTATACAAAGAAACAGAAAAAGAAAAACAGACATGCTTTATAAAAATATAATAAAATTCAAATATCAAGTGAGTAATGGCTTTTAAAACTCTGGTATTTGATCAGCATCATTGCTGATCCTTGACCAGGCTCATCACTACTAAAAACCACATTTGTGAATTCCCTTACCTACAAAAATAAATTAATAATTATAACAGCTACGGGAAAAAGCTGCTTTTCTTTACTGTTCTAATTATCTAAAAATCCACCTCCAATTTATTGAACCTACTTTTTTTCCTTTGCCTTTATCAGATACCTTGAAATGGGATGAAAACTGTGTCTCAAAAATCTAAGTAAAAATCAGCACAGTTCTTTTTAACCCGGATTATGCTTTAGATTACCTGGGAAACTCTTTAAAAAGTAGATAAGTATTTAAAAATACCTGATATTCTCTCCTACGCATCTAATTTAACTAATCTGAAAAGGGTTGGGGTAAAGATATATGGGGATCCAGTTCCCCAGGAGATTTAATATGCAGCCAGAGTTGAAAATCAGTGACTTTACAGAATAGGAGACTGGCAAATAAAAACGTCAATAAAAACATCCTTATGATAAAAGATAACTTTTTAAAGGATGCTTTAAACTAAAATAACAACAGAAAAAATGTCCCAGAAAATCATCCTGATTAATAAAATGAAATTTGAGTATGCTACCTTTTCAATTAACACCTTCTTTGAAGTAAAGTACCAACTGAGTAATTTACACATCTTTCTCATTTCAACTAGGAGAGAGTGGAACCTGGCAGCTGGACGGATGTCTTTCATACATTCCATCCTCAATCATCAACTCAATACATGAGATAGATTTTTTTTTAATTTGAGATATCTTCATAATTGAGTCCCCAATTATCAGTGAACTATATGAAACCATGGGATTTCAAATGATGCTTGCATATATAGTATATCTTTTGGCTTTTGGAATCTGATCAGGTGATTGGCCTTCATGTTTAAAATACTTATCACCTATTATGGACTCAGCATCACAATGGTATTCTTGACCTACCCATTTAAAAAGATTCCAATGAGTTTAGTTTTATCACCAAAGGATAGGGGGTTCTCTCTAAATGAGATCTTCTATTTCATTGAAACAGTTGCCATCACTCTTTCAATATCTTAGAGAGGAAATACATACGATGCTACCATTTACTGATTATACTTCTAGAACCTTGGAGTTGAAAGTTGTGATTTATAGGATGAAAATTAAGTGCTATGCTTCCTTCAAAAATTAGTTTTGTTCACATATTTCTTTCTCTACCACATTTCCTAAATTCAGGTAGCAAACTCTAGGAATTCTATCTTTCTCTCAGAGAACTGTCATTCATACACCACTTTGCATCTCGACCTCATAATCTTCTGCCACTGGCAACATTCAGTTCTGTGTAATCTCTGCCACCATTCCAATTCACTTTCCACATGGCCCCCATGGTTAGCTTTGTAAAACATAAATGTGATATGGTACTGGTGGCAATGCATAAAAAAAGTTTTGAATCTTTCTGTCAAACAGTAGCAATACCAAATTTTATAATATTGTCTATATGGTCACATAATCTCCACCTAACCATCTCAAACTTAGTTTCTTTCTACCTTGTGTGGCCAGAACCATCACACCACAGCGGATTTCATGGTATTTCAAATGTGCAGTCCCACACGTTTCTGTGTACAGAAGGGCCCCTCACTTGCTTTAAGCTCTACTTTTGCCTTCTTGAAATTCTTAATAATTTTATCTGTGAAGTTGTGTTTTAAAAGTGAAGGCCAATGGATTGACAGAGCACAAGTGTGAGCAAAAAGAAAAATGCAGTATGTCTGTTCTTCAATGTTTTATCATAGGCATTTGTAATGCCCATGAGCACATAATTCCAGTGACACCATAATGTGTGGGAGTTCAGAGAGTCTCAAAGCAAGTACAAGGTGTGTATGTTAAATCTAAGACTAAGGAAGCAGGTTCACTGACAGCCTTGAGAGTCCATACTTTGTTGGAACCAGAACTTACTATAAAAGAAGGAAGAAGGTAATGGCATTCTGCAATGCACAAATGACCAAGAAATCCAATCATATTCTTTCTTACTCATCAATTAATCAGCTATTTATTGAATATGATGACTTAGAGGAAGGAAAACATAGGAAAAGCTTTTCAGTCATTTTTTTCTTCAATAAGCTGAAGGTTGAGAGTGGTGGTAGAATGAGCACATATCAAGCTGTGAAAGACAAGTTCGTTTGTAAAAGTTAGTTTTGTGTGGCATTTTCTTTGTTAGGAATAAGATCTTATTCATGTATTTTTTTATGAAAGGAAGAATTGTGTAATTCCAGTGATTATGCATGGATTAAATGATCTTATATTTGCATTTAAAATTGACATCACACAATATAAAGATATCTGGCAAGATTCACAATAATTAAAAATTTTAATTTTTCATTGCTTAATAAATTAAATGGCAAATATAAAAGACCATGACAAGTCAAGAGAGAGACTTGGAAGTAACCTTTAATAGCATTGTTTCCTGCTTTTTCTTTTTTAGAGCAAAGTATTTCACATTTTCATTTTGCCACTGAGCCCCGAAATTACGTAACCAGCCCTGCATCACTGAACTCCTTGCTTTTTCTTCAAAATACTAAACCTGGTTTACAGTACATGCTTTCTTCCGACTGCATGGCCCTTCTTCTAAAACTGAGAAATTTCATTCATTCTTCAAAGACCAATGCAAATACGACTTTCTCTGTGAACATTCTGTCAAACCCTCTAGGACAAAGTTGGGTACTGCACTTCCACTTCACATTGTAGGGCCTTTGAAGACAGGCCTGGTCAAGGAAGCTAGCTAAAGAAGGCTTGATATTCTGGTTTGTCCTAGAATCCCCACTCATCAACAGCTGACACTGCTTTTGTCACTTGGACTCACTGTGTTCCCTAATGAAGGTACTTGCAATTTAAAACCGTTTCTTGCTTACTGAGTCAAGACCCCTTTATCTCTTCCTTTTGAAATGAAAGTATGACTGGTACAGCCAAAGGTGATCTTATTTCCAGCCATTAAGCAATGTTAATTTCATGGGCTACAGAGAGAAGAAGCTTATGCAAATGAGTACAATTTTGCCAGTACCAATTTATTAATATGAATAGGTTAGCAATTCACAATCCATAACCTTCCCCAATATGTATGATTCAGAAGGTCAAGGTTCTTTTTTTTTTTTCTGAAGAGACTCATATTAACATGCAGATAACTTCTCAGAGGTAGACTCAGGCCCACTCACACTCTAAGTAGCTCGCTCTACTGTATTAAAATCAATGAACTGCAGAGCAAATACGAAAAGGAAATCTGACTGTCTCTGTGTAATCCCACGGAATTCAGAAAGGGTACATGACACTACCTGCTGGACTTGATCCAACACTCTAACTTGTTTAGGATCATAACCACTATTTCCACTCTAATGTATGACACTTCTGAAAAGGGAACACAATTTTTCAGAATATGGGATACTAATGATTTTACTAATGCTCATCCAAAATCTGAATTGTGTGTGTGTCTCAATAGTACACACAGGTTATGGCTCTTTCATGTTAATATGTGGACAGTATATAATATAAAATATATTCAAGAAGACCAAAATAAAGCGCACTTAACTAAAATGGGTGTTTATCATGTCTGTGATGAAACCGGCCTACCCTTTTTTTAAGGATTTATTTATTATTTATGCATACAAGAACTGGGGTACAGGCCGGAGGTGTGGGGTGTGAGAGAATTCACCAGAGACAGAATGGAAAACAGAACAGGGAGACTGACTGAAATACACTGCTGAGGGGAGCAGTGGGCAAGTCAGGAGAGGTCTGCTGTGCCATGTGGGTAGTTCACTGGCTGGGGATGGAACTCATGCTGCAGAGGCTACAGATAGCTTGTGCCATCAGGGAGGCCCCCTACCCTTCCTTTTTTTTAAAGCCTCCTTCCAGTGAGTTTTTAACACTGAAAGTAAAATTTTATATGCAATGCAAAGCTTAAATCTTTGGCAATGCAAAGTTGCCTGCAAAGCTTAAATCTCTGCAATGATCTTCCCATTGCTCTTAAAGTTCTAAACCCCAAACATAGGTTAGGAGACCTTCCTGGGTTCTAGTACTGCTTTGGTCTCAAGCCTCATCTGCCTCACTTTTTTGCAATCTTGCCTTTGTTTTATAATATTTAGTATTCTGAATTTGAGCTCCAAAACACGGTTCTCTCTAGCTAATTCCTACTCAACAGACAAGTAGTCCTTAAAAATAATGCTACGAGGGGCTTCCCCGGTGGCGCAGCGATTGAGCTCTGGGTTGCGAAGCTGCCCACGGCCTCTGTGGTGCCAGTTCGATCCCCGGCTGATCCCCGGCCACCGGAGGAGGGTCCCACATGGTGCGCAGACCTCTCCTGCCGCCCGCTGCTCCCCTCAGCAGTGTACTTCGGTCCTTCTGCCTGCTCTGCTCCCTGCTCTGGCTCTGGTGAATTCTCTCACCTTCCCGCGCTTCTGACTGTACCCAGTGCATGTATAAACAAACAAACAAAACAAATAAATAAATAAATAAAACATGCCTCTATAAAAAAAAAAATAATAATAATGCTACGAAGGGCCCTGCCCTCCAAATTAGACCTTTAGGATATATGTGCTCTATCACCTTACAATACTTACCACAATTAGGTTATTTGTTCAATGTCTATATCGTCTTCTTTTTTCTAAGATCTGTGAAGATAGGAATATAGTTGGTTTACAGTATCTATACCCATTGTCTAGCAATATTTGTCAAACAATAGGTAATTAATATTTACTAAGTTATTTGACAAACAAGATTACAAATGCTGGCTTGGGCCTTACTAGGGAACTATGAATGCCAAACTAGTGATTTTGGATTTTATTCTATAGGGACTGGGAAGCAAGTGTTTGAGCAAGGAAATGACATAATAAAAACCATTGTTTAGAAAAACTAACAGTTCTCTAGAGAATTGTGACAGATGAGACAGATTGAAGACTATAATCATTCAATTATGACTAAGTAGTTTATAACTTTAACATATTGAATAGGGGGTGAACAGTGAGAAGGTCAAGATATGGAAAGATGTCACAGCTTTACCCATCTTGGGTGTGGTCATTTTATTTCCCTGTCACTTCTTTTTATTTTATAACAGTAACATAGAGAATCATGTCGCTGGTCACCACAGCTCAGTTATCAGTGTGTAAATGTTGGTCTAAGCTACGTTTTTTAATGAGGTCAGTCCACAAATGTACATGGCAGATGTCTGAAAACCAAAGATTTCATCATCCTCTTTTATTGATTCACTCTTATTATTCTTTTGTTACATCTGCCTATAGGCAGACATAGATCTACGTATCTACATATCTATATCTGTATGCCATTATAATCATGGGGTTCTCTAGGCAATATTCCCAATCAGTAATCAAGCCACACATCTATATAAATAGCTTCCATTCCTTGCTGTAAATAAAAAAATTTCAAATACTTTCCTATAGTCTCCTGATTGTCAAACTTAAATATTCAGTGCTTATTAAACAACCCCTGACTCATTATGTCCTGAGCTGTATTTATTATCTTTTTTTGGATTGAGGAGAGTAGATACAGTGAAATATTAATGTCTGTGGTTGATAATTTGTACAACATTTATGAATTGCTTCTCTCTCTAACATTTAGTATTAAGTATTCTTTTGGGTTTTAGTGATAAAACAAGATGATAGCAGATGAACAGGATAACACAATTCAAACCAAACTCTACCATGATCAGTGACAAGTATTTTTCCCCTAAGGTACAGAAGCGAGTAAAAAAAAAAAAAGTTGAAAGAGTATTTGCTCTAAAATACTACTTTAGAAATTTATAAAAGGCTCAAAAGCCTAAAAGCATTTTCTAAAAAGAATCCAATTTTAATTTAATTTTAAAAGCCTATGTTATTCTTAGTAAGTAAATGGAACCCTCAATTTTCTTTACTTATTAATGAATTCAAAATATTCAAAGTGGCTACTCTTGCTATTGAAAAGTGCCAGATGACCAACAATGATTAATGGTAAATTTTTTAAAAAGGAAAGAACTATTAGCTTAGTATTTTTTTTTTTCAACAAAAGGGAAGGTATGGAATTGTGAAGTAGCACTGACTTTCAAGTCTTGCACCTTCTCAAATATCTGTATTTCTCTGAGTTATTCAATCAGTGGTGACCTATGTGGATGGAGATGTGTTTGACCATTTTGTTTCCTTATTTTAAAAAGTCTAATACGTAAAATGTTTGCATCTTTTCCATGCTATGTAACTGCCACAGACCTCATTCAATGTAATTGATACACAAGGTGCATCGGGCTTCTATGTGGCATAAATTAGATTATACAAACTTGTCATTGAGTGAAATACTCCTTTTTACCTATTCCTTTTAAATAATTGATAGGTTCCAATACAGAAAAATCCACTGATCATTTCTTAGTTTTTAATATTTACCTTTATTTCTATCGGCTATGTACCTAGCTACCTACTATAGATCTATCTGGACAGAGATCTCATACTTTTTTCACTTCTATTGATTTGTTTAGGTTATATCTGCTTCCTGAGGTGCTGAGAGAACCACATTCTTCCTGGTGAAAAATCTAATCCATCACCAGTGTCGCGTCAAGCACTAACACTTAACTGAAGTCCCCTCTGTTCTCTCTAACTGATGACACATTCTTCCTGCTCCAAATATATGTTCCATTTGCATCTTTCATATGGTAGTTTTCTACTTCTACCTTGCATTCTAAATTTTTACAGTTTACCATCCCTTCTAGAATACAAACTCCTTAATGACAGAGTTCATATCTGAGTCACTTTTGCTTCATAAGCATCTCATGTAGTAGTTTATACATATATACTTAAAAGAGTGCTTCTATCTGTAAGATTATCCTTTCAGTCCTTTAATTTATAAATTATATACAACTTTAAGAATCTTAGTATGAAAGAACAAAATGTCAGAAAATACAAAAAGCAAACAAAAGTTTGCAACAAAAAAACAGCTGTTTTTGTTTTGTTGCAAACAAAAAACAGCTCACCAAGACCATTTATATGGGGGTAATTCCTTTGTACCTAAGGACGAGCATATAATGCAAGACAGAAGAATAACTGATGTGCATAAAATGTACCCTAAATCCTAAATAAATACTTTAATGTAGATTATTTATTAATAATACCTTATTTATTATGCAGCTATAATGATTCAATAAATTTACAGGAAGAGCCACTGTGATAAATTATTAATAACTATTATTAATGCATTATTCATCATTCAATTATAATAATTTTCAGGGATTTAATATTTACAAATGATTTTTACAACTATTATAACAATTTTCACATTAAGCCTAAAAGATAGACAGATGTTAAATCTATCACAAGAATGTTTAACAGAAGAAAATTGAAAGCCACTGGGTCAAGTAAATGTAGCAAGGTCACACAGCTGTAGAAAAGTCCTGGTCCAAGTATTTAAGTCCTTACTCTGATTAGTAAAACAGACCTAGTTCCTATTTACTGCATGATGAGGCAAAGAAAAGCTAAACAAATAAAAATAACAAGCAGTGCTTTTCTGTTAGAGAATGATGGTGAGCAGACAGAAACTTTTGAGATAAAATGATCAGGGAAGACATTGTGAATGGGAAGACTCTTTTTAAGCTAAGAGCTGATGGAGGAGAAAGTCAGGCATTAAAAGAAACAAACAGGGAAAGAGCATTGAAGTATACGAACAGGTTTGTATGAAGGTGTTAAAATAAGAAATTTCAGACTTGTTTCCAAAGCATAACATATTCTTTATGAAAAGACTTCCATCACTGATTACAAGCCAAATGCTCTTCGTCCCTTCAACCCCTTATACTCAAAGAAAACGCACATTTCCTGAATTACATATTCCACTGTATTTCTGCATATATCATTTCCTTGACCTGACATACTCTTTTTCCTGACATCTCTTCATAGATGAAAATTATATTTATCCTGAAAAACTTCTCTAAGTTTGCATTATTTCTCCCTTAGTTTCTTTCTATCTCCCCTTACAAGTATCTTCCATATATTTTTTAATAGGATATAGGAGAAGGCACATTTTTTTTTAAAGATTTATTTATTTATTTATACAAGAATCAGGGTACAGGCCAGACATGCGGGAGGATGAGAGGATTCACCAGAGACAGAGCGGGGAACAGAACAAGCAGAATGACCAAAATACACTGCTGAGGGGAGCAGTGGGCAAGTCAAGAGCGGTCTGCTGCGCCATGTGGGATTCTTGCCGGCTGGCAGGTATCGAACCAGCATTGCAGAGGCTGCGGACAGCTTCACAGCGCTGTGTTCAACTGCCTGTGCCACCAGGGAGGCCCTTTCCACATATTTTTAAATACTAACATTTTTATTAACAGCTTCAATGAAGAATTATTTACATAATGAAGCATCACCTGTTTTAAATATATGATTCAATGACTTTTAGCATATTTACAGTTATGCAAATATGGTCACAATTTAATTGTAGAACATTTCTTTCACTCAAGAAAGATACCTCATGCCCATGTACAGTCCTTTTGCATTCCCACCTCCACCAATATTCTTAAGATTTCTCACCAATATTCTATCTCCTTAAGATTTGCTTTTCTGAACATTTTATATAAATGGAATCACAATGTGTTGATTTGTGTCTGGCTTCTTTTATTGAGCATATCTTTAATACCTCGTTCTTTATATTCATGAACAGTTTTCCATTGATTGGATACACCAAGCTTTGTTTATCCATTCACCAGTTGATGGGCATTTAGTCCAATGCAGTTTCTGCTACTGGGAATGATACTGGCTGCTATGAACATGAACGTGCAATTCTTTGCTAGTTCATATGCCTTCATTTCCGCTAGGAAGACACCTGTGGTTAGCATTGCTGAGCCACATGCTATTCCACCTTTCCTTACTTCCATGCCCTGTACACAACCTTTTTTAAAAAAAATTATTTCGTGATATGTTTTTCTTTGTTTTTACATATCTATCTCCCCCTATTGGGCTATAAGCATCATTACAACAGACAGCAGAGCTCAAAAATTTTTATACCATCGATAACAGCAATTATTAGGACATAGTGGGGACCAGTAAATTTGCTGAACTCTGATCCCAGATCCCCCTTTCCAAGATGGAAGCATTAATTCCCACAGTTACAGGAGTACTCTGCTGAAGCTCAGAAATGAGCCCCTCCCTAGGAATTGCCCTTTGCCAGGAACCTGTTTCGCACAAGGGCATTCTCCCTCCTTTGAACCAATGACTGATCTACATAAGGATACAAATACCTGAGCTCTTGCATCCACCCAGGATATCTTTTAAGCTTCACAGTCTGGGCTGAGGTCACTGTTGCAACTTTACTGAGTTCACATTCTCTTTCTGCCCAATCCCACTTTTCTCGCACTCTCCCTTCTCGTGTGATTGCTGAGAGCACTCTCCAATGAACCTTCCACAATCAAACTTTAGTCTCACAATCTACTTCCTGGGGAACTTGACTGTGCACCTTATGTAGTGAATTCAAGCAAGGAAGTTAAGAGATAATCTTCAATACCCATTCTTTCATTACATACAGTTAATCTAGTCAATTGTTTGTGATAGAGCTGTAATCTAACTTCTCCCAGACTTGAGGATTAGATGAAATGAATTTAAGCCTCTCCCCATTTGATATTACCACTTTAATATCAAAGCCCTAT